AGGAGACGCCGCCATTTTGTGAGGCCGCCGCGCTGAGCTCCCGCTCCCCTTTCCCCGCCGCTGCCGCCACCATGCGTCCCGGCATAAAGCTCTTCGTGGGCAACGTCCCCGAGGAGGCGACGGCGGAGGAGCTGAGCGAGCTGTTCGCCGGCGCCGCCGGGCCCGTGCTCGGCATCGCCCTCATGAAACAGTTCGCTTTCGTGCACCTCCGGGATGAGGCGGCGGCGGCCCGCGCCATCACCCAGCTCAACGGCCACCAGCTGCACGGTCGCCGCATCGTGGTCGAGCCCTCTCGGCCTCGGCCCACCAACACCTGCAAGATCTTCGTCGGTAACGTCTCGGCCGCCTGCACCAGCGGCGAGCTGCGCTCGCTCTTCCAGCAGTACGGCACCGTCGTCGAATGCGACGTGGTGAAAGGTACCGGACCCGCCGCCGCGGACGGGGGCTCCGCACAAGCCTGTTCGCCTCCCCCGGGGCTGCCCCGCAGCCCTCGCCGAGCTCAGTCCCCGCCACAACTGGCTCGCCGCTCACCTCCGTCCTCGGAGCCGCTCCGGCCCCGCTCTTGGCTCGGGTGACCCGTGTTCCGTCTGCCTGGCTGCGGCTCCCCCCCCTTCCCTACCTCCCCCGGCTCCACCGCCCCCGGCCCGATCTGGCGGCGCCCCCGCGCACGGAGCAGGGCCCTGGGTCTCCCTGCTGCCCCCCAGCCGGAGCCGTGCGAGCCCTTCTGGGTTCCCCAGAGCCCATCCCTCCCCTCTGCCCCGTTAAACGCCCCCCCCCCCGGGGTGCGCTCTCGCCAGCCTTTCTAGCCAGGCCACGTCCTCCATCCTTGCCTCCCCCCAGTCCGGGCAGGGGTAACCCGCTGCTGCTGCCTCCGTAATTCTTCCCTGACATGAGGCGCTTCCCTTCCCCGTCCAGCTGCGGCTCTGCCATGGCTTCACCTCCACAAACACGGTCCGACATGGAGCTAGCTGCTCCCCCATCACTCGAGGCGGGAGAGCCAAAGCCCATAAAAAAAACCCCCACGCTGTCAAACTCCCGAGGGGGCTCGATCGGCTCCACATCGGGGACCCTGCAGTATGGCGTGACCAAGGGGATGGTGTCACCCCACTTTCCCCCTGACCCTGATGGGAAAAGGTGTCATCCCCATGTCACGCAGCCAACACAGCCGCTCCCCGAGGTGCCTGTCCCGTCCCGTTCCACCCCCCTGCCCCGGCAGCGTCCCAGCCGGCTTCTCCGCCTCCCGGGAGGGTAATGTTGTTGCCTCTGCTCTCTCGTCCCAGGTTGCAGGCCCACCGGCTCCGTCCCGCCAGGACGCAGCTTCCCAGCGGAGCCCGTCAGAAACCACCCCAAACCCACACCAAAAGTTTCTGGCATCCCCTTGGCCAGTGGCCGATTTGTGGGGTCCCCCAGAGAGGGGTGGGGGTGCTGCGGCTGCCCAAGGGGGCGGCAGGAGGGCTGGGGGGGTGAACGGAGGAGACATCTCCTCCTTAGGCTGCTGGAGTGGGATATGTGGATGTGGGATAGGAGCCAGGGAGGGGCGGGATGGCAGAGCAGAGGGGGCATGCGTGGGAGAGTGGGTGAAGCGGCACTGATGTTTAGCTGGAGCTTGAGGTGCCAGGATGGGGTTTGCTCAGCGAGCGATGCTCTAAGCATGCCGTGCTCCCTCGGATGGGCTGCCCTGGCCGAGCCGTATGCCGGCCTTCTGGCCGTGGGCTTAAGTGAGCTGTTGCCAGTGGCACTGGTTCCGGTGATTCCTGGTCCAGGACTGCAGGGGGGATGCCACGGGGTTGCTGAGAGGAGCCGCCCTTCCGCCCCATGCCAGCCTCCCGGACCCGTCGTGCCACGGGGGCAACCCCCCAGCTACTGCAGTGGCATCTGAACCCCGAAACCGTTGGCCTGAGAGCCACGGGCGGCTGCCAGACCTGGCATGGGCACAGCGTCGTGGCAAGAGCCGTGCTGGGGGACGGGCAGGTTGCCTGCGGTGCTGCGGGTGACCCGCTTTCCTGCCGCAGACCCGGCACGGTCACTCTGGGTCCCACTTCTACCGCTCCTCGCCTCGCTCTCCATCTCCTTTCTGACGCCTCTCTGCTTCGGTGCCGCGTTTGCGCCGTGCTGCTCGCCCGGCTCCTCACCTTGGCCCGGGTGCTCGGCTGGGTGTGCGGTGCCGCAGGTTGTGCTCGGGTGCTCTCCTCTTCCTTCTCCCCCCTCTCCTCTCCTTCTCCCCCTCCCCTCATCCTCTCACTCTCTCCTGTCGCTGGCGCTCCGTCCCCCTCGGCACGTCTTGGTGTCTTGGCGGGCGCTGGCCCTCTCTGGCTTTGCTCCGCTTACTGGTGGGACGGCCTGGCTGAGGCCATGGCACTGGCGGGGCCGCATTGCCCTCCCGGGGCTCTTGGTCCCCAGGTGCCAGAGGACTGGTAGGGAGGAGTTGCCGTTGGTGAGGGGCTGCCGTGCCGTGGGGCAGGGTGCCGAGCTCCCTCGGCGCAGGGAGAAGCGGCTGCGGTGGGCGCAGGCAAAGGGAGGGACAATGCGGGGGAAAACAGAGCAAAAAAGTGGTGATGGGGTGTTCCTGAGCCAGGGGACGCCAGGCGGGTGGCTGGGCTCATTAGGCTCCAGCCAAATTAATGGTGGGGCGGAAGCAAACGAAGGTGGTTCTGTCTCTTCGCTGCCTGAGCAGCAGCAGCAGCGGAATGGGGCCGGCAGAGCCCGTCCCGGCGCCTGTCCCGGCGCTGCTGAGCCGCACGCTGCTGCGGTCCCGGCAAGGCTCGATAAGCGTTCGATCCTGTAACGAATTGTCTTTTCTCCCCCCACTGATAACCCTCTGTCTGCTGCTTTATCAGACTATGCATTTGTTCACATGGAGAACGAAGCAGATGCAAAGGTTGCCATCGAAAACCTTAACGGGAAGGAGGTGAAGGGGCGCAGAGTGAACGTGGAGCTCTCCACCAACGTCCAGAAGAAGGGCGCGGGCCAGGCCCTGCCGCCCGCCCTCGGCCTCGACAAGAACAAGAGGATCGGCCTGGAGTACCGCGAGAAGTTCCAGCCCAAGATCGAGGGCTTCGACCAGCAGCGCCGGGCGGCAGACGCCGCCTTCCCCTCAGCCGCCACTGCCGGCTACACCGCCGCCTCCTCCCTGTACGATTACCAGCAGCGCTTTGGCACTGGCGGCGCCGGCAAGTACGAGGCTTTTGAGGCGCAGGCCAGGCCGGCCTCCCCCTCCTACTTCGGGAGGGACCGCAGCCCCCTCCGGCGCTCCCCCACCCGGGCTGGCTACGCGGCGGTGACGCTCCCCATGACGGCACAGCCGGCTGCCTACCGCGCCCAGCCCTCCGCCTCGCTGGGGGCCACCTACCGTGCCCAGCCCTCCGCCTCCCTCGGCGTGGCCTACCGCCCGCAGCCCACCACCGGCCAGGCCGCCTCTTACCGCGCCCAGCCCTCCGCCTCACTGGGCAGCGCCTACCGCTCCCAGCCCTCCGTCTCCCTCGGCGCCTCCGGCGCGCAGCCCGCCGCCAACTCCCTCGGCTCCTACGGCGCCCAGGCCGCCGCCTCCTACGGCGCGCAGCCCGCTGCCTCCCAGCTCTCCGGCTACAGCGTCCAGTCCGCCGCCCTGGCCTCCTCCTACGGGGCCCAGGCCGCCTCCGGCTACTCCGCCTCTTACAGCGCCCAGGCTGCCGCTGCTGCCTACGGCGCCCAGGCCGCCGCCGGCCCTGCCGCCTCCTACGGTGCCCAGGCTGTGGCCACACACGTGGCCTCCTATGGCGCCCAGGCCGCCGCCGGTCACGCTGCCTCCTATGGCGCCCAGCCCGTAGATGGTCACGCCGCCTCCTACGGCGCCCAGCCCAGTGCCGCCCTCTCAGCCTCTTACGGCGCCCAGGCCGTGGCCGCGCATGCCACCTCCTACGGCGCCCAGGCGGTGGCCGGTCACACCGCCGCCGCCTACCAGCCCGTGGCTGGCCACTCGGCCTCCTACGGGGCCCAGCCGGCGGCCGCGCTCTCTGCCTCCTACGGGGCCCAGCCC